AATACACTTGGCGGAATCACAACCATGTAGCTGCTAGATACATAAAGGAGAGATTGGACCGTGCAGTTGCTTCGAAGGGCTGGTGTTCGAGATTCCCACGATCCAGAGTCTTCAATGCGGAACCACGCCATTCAGACCATCACCCAATAATTCTGACCACTGATCGACAGACATGTTATTCACCCATTAGAGGTGGTCGAGGTTTCAGATTCGAAGCAAAATGGTTAGAAGAAGATGATTGTGAGGAAGTGATAATGAAGGCATGGCAGAATGCACGGATGACTGATCACTTTAATGTCTCCAATGGCCTCGAAAGGATAGCAAGGGATCTAAAGAACTGGGAGATAAACACACTGGGTAATCTAAATCAGAGGATAAAATGTTTAAAGACTGAACTTGAAGAGGTGAAAAGGAAAGATATATCACAGGAACAAGTATCACGCGAGCTATTTTTGAGAGAAAAACTAAATAGATTAGAGCAGCAACAAGATACACACTGGAGACAAAGGGCGCATGCCAACTGGTTAAAGTCCGGTGACAGGAACGCAAAGTACTTCCATGCCTTTGCTTCTGAAAGAAAGAAAAAGAACACAATACCCAAGTTGAAAAGGGATGATGGTGGTTGGGTGGAAGGCCAAGCAAATTTGAAGAAACTCATATATGATTACTTCTCAGCCTTGTTTACATCCACAACCGTAGCAGACAATGAAGAAGTTACGAGACACGTACATAGAAAGGTGGACCGACAAATGAATGAAATTTTGTGTGCTGAGTATTCAAGGCAAGAAGTCAAATCTGCAATTGAAGACATTGGAGATCTAAAGGCCCCAAGCCTGATGGAATGCCGGCTATTTTCTATAAAAAATTCTGGCATCTTGTGGTGGGAAAAGTGATAGATGAGGTGCTGAATTTTCTAAGAGGAGGAGACATGCCACAGGGATGGAATGACACTTTGGTGGTTCTCATCCCAAAGGTAAACAATCCGGAAAACTAAAAGACTTGAGGCCTATTAGTTTATGCAATGTCATATACAAGATAGTCTCCAAGGTTATCACTAATAGGCTAAAGGTAATCCTCCCGGATATTATCTCCCATAATCAAAGTGCATTTATTCCGGGAAGAATGATTTCAGATAATATTCTTTTGGCATACGAGCTAACCCATTTCTTGCAGAATAAGAGAAGTGGAAAGAATGGGTATGCAGCCTTGAAGCTTGACATGAGCAAGGCTTATGACCGGGTAGAATGGTGCTTTCTCCAGGATATGATGAGGAAAATGGGCTTTGAAAGGAGATGGATTCACCTGATCATGAAGTGTGTAATGACAGTACGATATCAAGTTAAAGTCAACCATGATGTCACCGAAACCATAATCCCAACGAGAGGACTCCGCCAAGGTGACCCTTTGTCACCTTATCTTTTTATCATTTGTGCTGAAGGTTTTTCAGCCTTACTACATGAGGCTGAAAGACATAAAAGAATTGAGGGGATAAAGGTATCTGTTAGAGCTCCAAGTGTTAACCATCTTCTATTTGCAGATGATTCCCTGTTACTGATAAAGCTGTTAAAAGCAATGCGCAAGAGGTGGATAGAATTTTGAACATATATGCAGCCAGCTCTGGACAGATTATAAACAAGGAGAAATCTGCAATTATGTTCAGCAAGAATACCCCCTCTCAAGAAAAGAAAGAAGTTATGAGCGCCCTCCAAGTGAGTAATGAGACCAGATCAGAAAAGTATTTGGGGCTACCGGTCTTTATTGGAAAATCAAAAAGTAAGGTTTTTCAATACCTGAAGGAGAGAATATGGAGGAAAATTCAGGGATGGAAAGAGAGAATGTTATCATGTGCAGGAAAGGAAATCCTCATAAAAGTGGTTGCACAAGCGATCCCTATTTATGCTATGGCATGTTTCGACATAAGTCCCTATGTTATCAGATAAGCGCAATGATATGCCGATATTGGTGGAGCCAAATGGCCAAGGAAAACAAAATTCATTGGATAAGTTGGGAGAAACTTGTCTTGCCGAAGAGGGAAGGTGGATTAGGATTTAGGGATCTCCATTGTTTCAACCTCGCGATGTTAGCAAAACAGGCATGGAGACTCATTCAGAATCCTGACTCATTATGTGCTCAAGTCTTAGCTGCAAAGTATTTCCCCCACGGGCAAATTCTGAAGGCAACAACTATGAAGCGCATGTCATACTCCTGGCGAAGTATCTTGAAGGGGGTCAAGGTGCTTAATGAGGGTGTTATTTGGCGAGTGGGAAATGGTTTAAACATAAACATTTGGAATGATCCATGGCTACCGCGAAGCTCAACGAGGAGGCCAATCACAGTAAGAGCAAGAAACATGTTACTATACAAAGTATCTGAACTCATAAACCCTGTGACCGGAAGCTGGGATGAAGAATTAGTCTATCAAACCTTCTGCAATGAAGATGCCAATCTCATTATGCAGCTGCAAGTAAATGAGTCAGCGGATGACAATTTAGCTTGGCATTATAACAAGAAGGGCCTCTTCACAGTAAAGTCTGCATACAAGGTGGCAATGGACAGTGAAGCCAAACATACAACTAGTGGGATCCAATCAGGCTCAAACAGTACATCAAATAATCTCAGTTTTGATTGGATGAAATTATGGAAGATCCCATTACCAAGTAAGATCCGACTTTTCCTATGGAGATCAGCACATCACAGCCTGCCTTGGAGACAAAAGCTAATTAAAAGAGGAATGGAGATTAGTTCTAAATGCCCTGTTTGTTGCAGGTTGGATGAGGATGGGGGCCACTGTTTCCTCAAATGCAAGCAAGTAAAGAAAATATGGAGGGCACTGCAAATGGAAGACATTAGGCTATCTCTCGTAATTTATCCAAACCCCCAAGATGTTTTAATTGAAATCTTTAAACAAAAAGAAGAGGTAGCTACAAAAATCTGTATTATGATGTGGTTGTGGTGGCATGAACGTAATAAAGCAAATAGAGGTGAACAAATTAGAAACTGTGAGGAGGTAGTAAGCTCAATAGTATTACATCATAGTGAGTTTATGCAGATGGTAAAGAAAGACATGTACATAGGAAAAACCACAACATCACGGCAAAAATGGACTCCACCGCCATCAAGTTACCTGAAAATAAATGTTGATGGAGCTTTCAAGGAAGAAGATCATACAGGAGGCTGGGGCTACATCATTCGCAATCCAGAGGGGCTTGCAGAGGCAGCAGGAGCAGGGAGGTTGAGCCATATCATGGATGCTCTCCAAGCAGAAAGCCTAGCCCTCATCGGAGCAATTGAAAGAGCAAGTGATTTGGGGTGTCAAAATGTCATTTTTGAAACTGATTCCCGTGTGCTGCAACAAGCAATCTCTACCGAAGAGTATGATGCTTCCTTGTGTGGTGCTCTATTCATGAAGGCAAGAAGACTTTTATGGTTGTACTTTAATGATGTAAAAATTGTGTGGGTTCCAAGAGTCTGTAACTATGTAGCCCATGTTTTAGCGTCTCATGGCGCTGGTTTGGAGTCGGGAGACCAAGTTCACTGGCTTTGCGATGTCCCAGACTTTGTAAATTCTGCAGTTGCCAGCGATTTAGCTGGCCTGCCTGAGTAATATAAGCATCCGTGTTTTGTTTTGTCAAAAAAAAATCCATTGCATGCATTTTGGCCACCCAATCCATCCCATGGACCGCTGCCGCTTGCCTCCATGTCATGTGCCCTCGACGGCCTTGGCTTCTCCATTGCTGCAACCGATGCAGCGTACGGCCGGTGGCGATGCTGCCGCAACCAGTTGTTGATGCTGCGGACGGCCGGCAGTATGTTGCGGACGGCCGGCGGTGATGCAGCATACAGCCGACGGAGACGAGTGCTTCTCTACTGCCACAACCAGTCGCCAAGGCAGCATACGGCGGGCCGACGACAATGTCGCCGCAAAAAAATTAACAGCAAGACATCCTCTGTTTTATTGGATTACATCATCTATTGTTTACGTCACAGAATACAACAAAACTTTCCAACAGCAACATTTTGACGAGCACAAAATTCAGGCATAATTTCTGATCCTATATCAAACTACAGTACAATAATTTCTGTACCTATATCAAACTACAGTACAAAGGTGATGATTCAGAGGAGGATGTCGAGGTTGTGAATGCCCATTCTCAGTCGGTGAATTTAACATAAGTACAGGGTCCGTCTGTTACTTTTCTCTTATCCACTCTCAATCGGGACTGCAGGTTCCTTGTTTCCATTACTCGAGGGGGCTCCTGCAAAATAACCAGGTAGCCGACTTGGCGTGCCACATAGCCATTTCAGACTATTTTGTATGGTTTTGTTCCTGCAAAGCAAGTTTAGTGATTGGTTTGTCTCAATTTTCAAGTTTTTGTATGAATTATTTCCCGCAACGCAACTTGGTGTACTGTAGGTGTATTTAACTCTAAATGTAGCACAGAGATAGCAAATCAGTTATACAAAAGGATATCTAGAACACACCAAAATGCAAATAGATATTAATGTGAGGAGATCCAAAGTGAACACCCAAATATCTGTGTGCACAAATAAGAAGTATTAATGTGAGGAGATCCAAAATGAAGACCCACATTTCTGTGTACGTCCATTCCGTGGACTCTAACTATTTGTATTAATGAACCTATGGGAATTAAATGTGCATTAATGCGAGAAGATCTAAAATAAGCATCTACATATTGGTGAACATACAGGGCATTAATACAAGAAGATCTAAAACGAGGATCAACATATTTGTATAGCTAGCACCATTAATTCATATATCTATGGCCAAGCAGCACACTGCATTTATGAACCACCATGACATGCTATATAAAAACCTCAATCCATGTACATCACTTCATCAATCCATCTCTTCCCTACAGGTCCTTCTATATCCATTTATCTCTACCTTCGTCAACTTCAATACATTTCAAGACTTCCAACTAGCCTTATAGCAATGGCAACAATGTCAGCATCCCCCAACCATTTTTGCCATCGCCATCATGCTCCTTTCCACTATCCTTGCTGTCGAAGCCAGTGACTCTGGTGGTGGCAATCCCAAGGTCACCAACTTCATGGTGGAAGCGTGCAAGAATGCCTCAAAGAAAAACCAATATTATGACCCCGACCCAATGACGCGGGAGTTTTGTGTGTCAACCCTCAAGTTGGACAATCGGAGCGCTGAGGCTAAGGATCTCCATGGCCTGGTACTCGTCGCCATCAACATACTAAAGGGTCAGGTTGCTGTTGCCAACGGCAATGTCAAACAAATGCTGCACAACACCAAGAATGGCACGGTTGCAATGTTTAACCTCAGTTTCTGTGTGGTGGACTACGACCGCACGGTGAGCATCCTCAATATATGTGAGACCATGATAAATGAGTACCACGGTGGCACGGGCGGTTCCAATGATGGATCGCGGTCTTCTGCGCTGCTCGCCTGTTTGAGGAAACTTGATGAACCTCTCAACGACATTTGGCTAAGACTTCCTGATAATTCGGACGCGGAAAAGTTGCCCGATGATTACGATGCCGTGGGCAAGCTGGTCAAACTTAACTTTTGCCTTGCTAGCACCATATAGAGTGAATGATTTATAATTTGTTTTTTCTACATGCAATGGTGTGTGTTGTAACATCTATCTACCTTTACTTGGAATAAAAATAATGTTACCGTGACATCAGTTTTACTTTCACTTTCACTTGTGATATATGCGTATAGGCAAGAAGTTGATAACAAAGCTGCCTAGAGGAGGGGAACATGTGGCTCTCGGGTGCTGGTGGACCTGAATTGCAATAATAATTTTGTGATTTGAAAAAAAGGTTAAAAAGTCCTGTAAATTTCTGAAACATACATGACCAAAATTTGTACTCATATAAAAAGTTTCACGAAGGAATGCCTTCTAGCGTAACCTGTGCGGAAAGAAAAACAAAATGAAGATTATATACGAGTTACTATTCACGAGGTTTCTCCTAGGAATTATTTTTTTAGCCTGACTTTCCCAGGATTTTATCCCGCGCTAACATTTTTTACGGGTACAAAAGTAGGTCAACTTCGTTTCCACATTTTTGGGGACCTTTTTCATAATTAATAGTGTTTTTGTCATATCGGGTTCACCGTGGTATTTCCCATCTAGAAAACAGCTACGGCGCAGCTCCTTCATGAGCATGCATCGACGGGAGTGTGGGACCTGGCCTCTACTCCCTTAACCAATGGGGAGGCAGTGGGAGTACAAAGTAGCAGTTGCTTTGCCGTGCATTGTCCTGAATCAAAACTTGTTGATTTGCCATGTGTTGCTCTGAAGATCCGCTGCTCAACTGTTGGTCCGATGGATGTAAGGTGTATTTGGTCAGTGACAGACAAAATCAGTTCATGAGTGCATACTAGTTGAGATTCTAGAACCCTTCGTTGTCGAAATAGTTTGTACTAGTTTCTTTATTTCCCAGATAATTTGGATGCAGTAGTTTTTCGTTCATGAGTGCATACTAGTTAAGATTCTAGATCTTTCTTCACTTCCTAGGTGTGCTTGGTTTAATGTTTTCAGCATTCCAATTTTTAACTTGTAGATCTTCTGTGTCCTCACTAAGGGGAAACAATCATTGTCGAAACAATAAACTCCTTGGTTGCCTTACCGGGCTCCATTCAAAATGGTTGAACAACTTTTGAGTTATCTTGCTGACACTTGGTCCAAATAGGTTAAAAACTTTATGGTTCGCTCACTCTCGCTCTTTTTTAAGACATATTTGAATCTTTTCGTATACTGATTGACGAATTTTAACATGCTCCCTCTTACCCCTCTTTTTACATGTGATGTAAAAAGATAAGAGTTAATCAGATCACTAGTTGATGAGATTCAACGGCTCAGATCTATTATATACTCTTAACTCTCACGTAAAAAGAGGGGTAAGAGGGAGCAAGTTAAAATTTGCTCCCGGGAACCATCTATGTGTCAAAACTCAAAAGAAACATAAATATTGATGTACGAACAGCCAAATTTGTTCTAATATATTCAGATTTTTTTATAGCCGATGACCTTTTAGGTTCACAAACAGAACCCTTCGCCGTGGACCCAGAGTTCGTTCCGCTGGTGGTAGGGCTAGGAATAAAGATAGGGTTTATCTTCGTTCGGCGGTGACAAGACGATGGTGTCGCCATAGGCATGAAATAAGGTCTCCCCACTTCATCCTCATTTTCATAGCACTTCTTCGTATCATGGGGAGGCATGTGAAACATGGTGTGTCCACATATCTATTTCTCTAGTTTTTGCTTTTTCTTTTGCAGGTTTGTCAAAGAAAAAGGTTTGTCCAAGTCATGCTATTCTACGGAGAAGATAACATGGTCATGCATCATGATCGTCTGACTCCCGTCCCTAGTGTCGAAAGTTGGCTAACGTTGGCCTAGTAGGCGAGGTGTGATCTTGTTCTCCAGTGCAGCCATTTGCAACGCAGATCACGACCATATGTATCTTCTTGTCTGCATCAACAAATTCTCGACAGTTGCTTCCACAAGCTACTGGGTTTCAACAAGTTTGCTTCGTCGAGTGGCTGGCCCAGAGGCTGCAATAAAAATTTCTCACAGCGTGCCGGGCAGGGCCGGCAAAATCCGGGGCCCTGTGCCAAATTCTAAAATGAGGCCTACCTCACAACGCAATAGAAATAGAAATATATCAATAACAACGTATAGATCAGTAGAAATATATAATTTGAGCTATATAAAAAATAACATATGTTTGGTATGAAAGATCACATATATTTGGTTGCATAGTCTTCAATTAAATAATGCCATTATTTTTGTGTTCTTTAAATTGAAATCGTCAATGACATCCTCGAACACTAGGGAAAACCCTACTTTATATATTAGTTTATAGAGGGAATATATAAAATATAAAAAGAACAAAAATAGCTGTACAAGGTTTGGAAAAAAATAATATGAAAAGTCAAATCTGCTAGCAAAAGCGGAACTCAGAGCCAGGGCGGGGCTTCACGAGGTCACCGATCCTTATGCTTGAGCGATCTGTGATTCTGCTCTTGCCGTACCGAGAAAGGAAGAAAGGAAGAGACGCTGGACTGGAGCCTGGACCCTGGTGCCGCAGGGACCTCGATCCTACTCAGCGCTGCAGGCGCCGGTTCGACCTGCAAGCTGCTGAAGGCAAAACGCGCAGGAAAAAAGATTCCAGCTTCATTCGTCAGGATTGGGAATCGAACTCACAAGTTCACTTTGCTGTTTATAAGAGGAAACAACTCTATTTGACCCTAACTTTAGTACAAACATTAAATATATAGCAGTATTATATATCAGCTATAAATTATTTGAATAAAGAAAACCTAAATTTAAAAATATTCACAAAACCACGAACTGAAAGAAATCAAAATTGCGGATTTTTTTTGTACCAATTGAATTCGCAAAAAATGGAAAAAGTTTGTGAATTTGAAAATAATTCAATGAATTTGAAAAAAAGTTCATTGAATTTGAAAAAAGTTCATTGAATTCGAAAAAAAGTTCATTGAATTTTAGGAATGTTCATCTAATTTGAAAAGGTTCAACACTTTCGAAAAAAGTTCATCGAATTAGAAAAAAGGTTCAAAAAATCTGAAAAAAGAGTTCATCAAATTAGCAAAAAGAAAAAGTTCACCAATTTGAAAAGAAGTTCATTGACTTTGAAAAAAAGTTCACCAAGTCGAAAAAGTTCATCAGATTTTTAAAAAAGGTCATAGATTTTGAAAGTATTTCATAAATTTGAAAGATAAATCAACAATTTTGAGAAAAAGTTCATTGAATTTGGAAAAAGCTCATCAAATTTGAAACAGAAAATCAGCGATTTTGAGAAAGCGTTCATCAAATTTGAAAAATGTTCATTAATTTGGAAAAAGATCATTGAATATGAAAAAGGTTCATAAAATTTGAAAAAAATAACATCAACCTTTAGAAAAAAGTTCATCAATTTAGAAAAATTTCATAAAACTTGAAAATAAAATCATCCATTTTTTAAAAAAGTTCATCAAACTTAAATAGAGTTCATGGTTTCTTAGAAAAATAGTCAACAAATTTGAATAAAGTTCATCGATTTCTTTTTTTAAGTTCATTGATTTGAATGAAAAAATAATCATTTCTGAGAAAAAAGTTCATCCATTTTAAGAAAAGATCACGAATTTGAAAGAAATCATCAAACTGGGAAGAAGAAAAAAGGAATAAAACATAAACAAAAAATACAAAAAAGGAAAAACGAAAGAAGAAATAAGGAAGTTTGGAAGAACAAATAATCATACTGGGCATGGTGGCGCGTTGGTTAATGCGGCGCACTTCGATCCCTGGGTTCCCCAGCTCGATTCCCTTCACGAGCGCAGTTTTTTTGGCGGGTTGAAATAATAACAGCAAAACGGAGGCGAGATGGGCCGGCCCGCGAGTATCTGCTGCAGGCGCCGGTTAGCAAAAACAGTAGAAAACCGGCGCCTGTTAGCAAAAACAGTAGAAAACCGGCGCCTGCAGCGCCAAATAGGAAATGCCGGTGCCGCACGTCTCGCAGAGAGACATCATCGGGCTTGCTCCTGCGCCTGCAGCGCCAAATAGGAAATGCCGGTGCCGCACGTCTCGCAGAGAGACATCATCGGGCTTGCTCCTGCGCTGGACTGTAGGGCCCAGCACATAAAAACGGGCCCCCTCAAAACCGGGGGCCCTGTGCGGGTGCACCGGCCACACACCCCTTGGCCTGGGCCTGCCGCCCATGGATGCAAAACGATAAAGACTTCAGCACCCTCAAGGACTTGGTTGTATATTTCAATTTTTATAAATAACTTTTTCTAGCGTTCTATCACACTTTATTGTTGAGAAACAAAATACGGACGTTCATATACAGTCAATCCTATGAGCGCACCCATGCACACCTTACCTTTATGAGCATCTCCAAGACACTGAAGCGACATATCTTCATATTGACGAAGTCACCACATGTGCCCTTCTATCGATCGGAACATCACCTCCCACTTAAAGAATATTCTGCCTTAACGAGACATCCATGTGTCAAACCTAGAGTTTGACCCATGGTGGACTTGGGGTACAACCATCGTCCTAATCATTCAACCACAGATTGGTTCTCGAGTCCGTCCCACTTAATATAGCCCTTCACACAAAAAAAAATAGAGCCCATCGAACTAAGTCAAACAAAAACATAAGCATGTGGAGTCACGCTTGGTGTGATGGCCCGCACAAAGACATATATGTTGGGCTTCAAGCACATATATTATCACTCAATGAAAAAAAAACAACACATAGACTATCACGATCCGAAAGTTCTTGTGTATGAACACAAGGGCCCCTTTCTTATATGCTTTATTTTTCTTTGTTTACTTCCTAAACCCAAATGAAAGTAAAAATTCATGACAACAAGAAAAAACCAATTGTAACACGATGATAGATATTGCTAGCTCCTAGTGATCATCCTTCTTGCCATCGAAGAAGAGATCTATCAGGACGAGTGCCAAATTCTCTAGCTTTTCATTTTCCATGGCCAGTATCCCCATCACTAATGTATTATGGACCTCCCGGCGTAGTTCTTGACGGTGTCAAATGTCTTCTCAATGCACTCGA